ATTTTGCAGCGACCCTTCTCATTCCCAAATCTTCTGTTAAAATTTGCTGAACGGAGCTCCCAGATAGTCCAGACAACTTCCCCATCTCTTCAATGGTCCGTTGTCAGTCCATACGGGTAGGTGATGGACGTCTAGAACGAGGTTTGTCATTAATCAACATTTCACCTTTTTTGAAACTAGAAAACCACTCGTACACTTGAGTTTTCCCATAGGGCTGTCTTTGTAAGCTGTGTTCAACATCACAAGTCTCTGTGGCATCCTTCCCGAGCAGGAGGCGAACTTTCACAGCTGAGTGCTGCTCTCTTAACTAGGCCGACACGAAAGACGGGATTCAAACAAAACTGCGTTCAGGAAAAAGTTCCCTGTGACCAGCGAGAACCTTCCCAGGCGATGCCACTGGGTGCACTAACTCAGAGTGAGTTGCTCCAAGCTTGCCTCGTGGGAAAAATGTGTACTCCAAAAAGCTCCGGTTTTGTTTTTGTTTTTTTTGGGGGGGGCCCTCATATGCTTAATACCAGCAAAGCAAACTTTAAACAATCTCACTCACGGCCATCGGGTCAATTCTGACTCTACAGGACTGGAGAAGTGCCCCTCTGGGTTCCTAAGACTGGCTCTTCACGGGGTGGAAGCCTCATCTTCCACCCACAGGGTGGCAGTGCTTCAAGCTGCTGACCTTGCGATTAGCAGCCATAGGTGCACCCCTATGCCAGCAGAGCTCCCTTAAACTCTGTAAGGGCCCATGAATAAAAATAAAGTACTTTTAAAAATGATGGCCTATGCAGATAACAGAAAACTCCAAAGCCCATTAGCTGGCAGGGAAAGATTCCCCAGTCCACACATTTTTTGAAGAATTGAGTTGAGAGAAAAAATTCATGGAGAGGCTTCAGAAAGTTCGGGGAGAATCCCAGTATCTCTCGCCCCACCTCCCCCAGCCCACCTGCGGGTGTGCTCATCCTCAGGACAGGGGCATCGAGCTGGAGGCAAGCCTGGGCCCCGGGGGCTCTCTTGGCGCTCTCTGTCCTGCTTAAGCGCCGCAGTGGACACGCACGACACAGCACCCCTGTGCCAGCGCGCTGGCGGCACCCCAAGTTCTCAGCACGCAGAAGTGCGTCCCCCTCACCCACGGGAATCTAGACGTGGGTCAAAAGCCCTTCCCAGGAGCTTGGCCTGCTCTTCCTGCTCCGCAGGTCTCAGTCCTCACGTGGTCTCCTCAGAAGCCTGGCCGGAGGGCCCATGTCCTCCATTGCTCCGGGGGGCTGCCACCCTCTGACGATGCTGACACGGGAGAGGAGGTGCAGGATGAACTGAATTTAATCCATGACACTGATATTTGGTTTGTTTTTAAACATAGCCAATTTTTATGTGCTAAATCATGACTTGCTGTTTTCAGTGCAGCGAGTTCAGGTTGGCGACACTGCTTCTGTCCCTCACAGGCGTGGAGGGTCTCAGCAGCCCCACTCCGGGGCTCTTCCCAGGCAGCTCGTCCCCGCCCACTCCCACTCCCATCTTTGACAGGTGTTGGCATTTGGCCCCTGAGGAACCCTCCCAGCATTCTGTTGTGAGAGAGCAGCTGCTCAGGCTCACACACAGGCCACGCAGCACCACTTACCACACCCCTCAACTTCGTCCCTCTAGGTCCCAAACGGCCCATGGTGTGAGGTGTGTGTACCTCACTGGTTTTATGCTTCTCCTTATAGACTGGTCTATGATTTGCCTAAAATTGAGCCACAGGTCTGAGTTTGGTCCCAGACTGGAAGGGTGACCAAGGACCAGTTTCAGGGGGTCCACGGCTCTTGATCAAACCGGCAAGCCTGGTCTCCTTCGCAATGCCCCGCTATGTTACACAGTTGCCTCCCGTTTTACTCAGGACCTTCTAATGTGGGCCCTTACAGAGCAGTTGGTGGTGGTAGCCGGGCACCCATAGCTCTGCAGGCCTCAGGGTGTGGACAATAATGGTCACAAGGCTCATGAGTCCACTGGATACGTGATTCCACATGCTTCGGTTGGTGTCGTGGTGACGAGTAAGGTCTGCAGTTCAAACCCACCAGCTGCTCCCAGGGAGAAAGGCCAGGCGTTCCGCTGCTGCAACGACTCACAGCCTCAGAAACCCCAAGCGGCCGTTCCGCTCTGCCCTACAGGGTCCGGATGCGTTAGATCAACTACACAGCAGCGAGCTGGTTATCCGCTTGTTTCTTTCTCTCTTCCGGTCAGGAAGAGACCGGCAGCTGCACCGTAGATGGCCGCTCAGCAGATTTAGTTTAAGACTCCAGTTGCTCCTCACCAGAGGGGGGTGGACAGTTTGTGGGCTAGGTTATGCCAGCTCCCCATGGTGTCCCCCAAGACTAAGGTCCTGAGTCCCCAAGTCCAGAGCTTCTTTCCCTTAAGGTATGTGGACATGTCCAAGAAGTTTTCCAAACTTGGTCAGTGTGCTCCACCACATGCACTACGGTATAGCTGCAGCACAGGGAACAGCCACGTACAGACATCCTGTCAAACCCACACCATGCGCATGCTCCCACCCTCCGCCCACACCCCTGATCACAGACTACAATGGTGGGACTTGGTCTGGTACTTTGAACCTATTATCAGGAGGACAGAACCACTTCCAAGGGCACAGATGACCGACTGGGGTGTTGAGTGATGAGGGTGGGTCGGGGAGGAAGGTGGCTGTCTCCTTCCTGGGAGGTTTCTCCCTGCAGCTCAGAGGGGAAGAGGCAAGGAGACGCTGCTGGCCTTGACGGGTACGGGTGGGTAGAGGGCACGAAGGAACTTGGAGGGGAGGCTCAGTACACACTGTGGGAAGGCTGTGCTCCCTCCAGGCAGCACCAACCACCCCTAGCAGCTGAGCACCGGGACACAGCTGGTGGCGCAGGAGCTGAAGTTGTCTTGTCTCACGGGAATGTCAAGGGCCTGCCCAGGGACGGGCACCATGCAGAGCACAGGAGCCAGTGACACCAGTGAGGATGGAGATGGTGTGGCCCCACTGCACATGTGCACGCACACCTCTGGTCCCTCCAGCCCTTGTCTGGCTGGAGCAGAAGTCGAGACTTAGGAAACCAGAGCTGCAAGATGGAGGAGTGGGGCCAAGTCCCGCCTGAGCACCTGCACCCAGGCCTGCAGGACTGGGGAGGTGGCTCCCACCCACTTCCCAGCCCACCGCTCCATCTGCCTACTCCTTCCTGCCCATCTACCCCTCTCCTGGGACCCAGGTGGCCACAAACACATGGTCCAGAATGCCCCAGTGGGGCGCAGGCCTGGTATCCAGCCCTCACTGGCCCTGTGACTCTCACAAGACCTATTTGCTTCCTGGCCCCTGACCTTCACATGACCCTCCCCTCCAGTGACAGCTGCCACAGTGCTGGTCTCTGAGTGTCCACAAAGACCAATCAGATAGTGTCCATGACCAAATCCCACCTACTGGATCCTAGGGCCCCAGCACCCAGACCCAGGGACGGGCAGGGGTGGATGGGGCCTTCCCTAGAGGAGGCGAAGAGCTTGTCTCCCAGGGCCCAGTGCAAATGCCAGGGCCTGGCTTGAGCAGGCACTTCCTTCCCCGGGCACAGCTGGAGGGTGCTCAGGGGCAAAGTGCATGGTGCCGCCCTGTCCTAAGAAGTCACCAACAGATGTGCAATCACTTCTCCGAGTGGTAAGTCAAGGGAGCAGCAAGGGGGGCTGAGAGAGTGCTATGGAGGGGTCCCCCGCTCCCCTGCACTGGAGCCCAGGACAGGGGTGGGGGGTGGGTGTGAGGCGGCGGTGGCCAAGGAAGTCCTAGGCACACTGGGGGTGGAGTCCTGGTCGGTGGGCCGGGCTGCAGGTCTCAGGGCCATGAAGACAGGGCAGGGTCTGTGTTGTTTCAAAGCCTACTGTCTGTGCATAGAGTGGGTGAGGAAGGTACCTGCGGGCTGGGCGAGGCCGACAGGGAGCAACCTGGACAGACTGTGAGGGGCTCTTGGGGTCAGGGGTCAGATACTAGACAAGAGGCAGGTAGGTGGCCACAGCAGGCCAAGTTCAAAGGCTGGCTGGCACCCACGCTCCTAGGAGCCCATGGGCTTAGGACCCCTCTGCTGGGCCACCAGAGGTGGCCTCCAGCTGGGCGTGCCCTGTGTCCACAATGCCCCACATCTCATCCTGAATAGTGGTGCTCCAGGACGGCCGCCCTGGGCCCGGCCAGGGTGCATCGCATCCATAACCTTAAGTCCACACTGCAAGACCAGGCCATAGAGAGGGGTCACCCCGACACAGCCTGCAGGCTGCCGCATGCCTCTCACCTGATAAAACTCCCGAAGCCAGTTCTTCTGCAGGTTTTCTGGCTGCAAGGAAAGAGAACAGGGCGTGAGACCAGGGAGGGAGCCGCAAAGCCCCCATGAGTGAGCCCCGATGGTCAGCAGCCAGCACTCACCCACTGCACCCCCCCACCCCCACCCACTGCCATGGTGCCCGTTCTGACTCCCAGGCCCTGAGCATCACGGGAGCAGCCTGCCTCCTCTTTCTCCCTCGCAGGCGCTGGTGCATCATGCCCAACCCACAGTGCCACCAGGGTCCTTTGTAAGAAAGCCACAGTACTGTAACAAACCCTAGAGGGAGTCCTGGGGGCAGAGTGGTTATGCTGGGCTGCTAACCTCAAGGTCAGCAGTTTAAAAACACCCACCGCTCCATGGGAGAGAGACGGGGCTTTCTACGCTCACAGGGGTACAGGCTCGGGAACCCACGGGGCAGTTCTACCCTGTCCTATGGGGTCCTGTGGCCCAGAGCCAACTCGATGGCATGAGTCTGTGTGCTGTTTGCTTTGGTAAAGGGAAGGGAGGAGAGAAGGGCAGGGCCAGGCTGGGCAAGTCCACCAAGCTAAGCTGTCCATGGGTCCGAGGACCACCAAGCAATAGGCACTCTGATCTACATGGTGAGTCCCACCCATGCTGGCCTCCCACCCCTAAAGACTGAACTCATAGGCGAGGTTTCGAGCCAGAACAAACTGCCTGGCAGACAAGAGAGTGGACATGGGAACTGAAGACACCGGCCTCCCCACAATCCTCTCTCTCCATGCCCCTCTCTGTCCTGGGGACTATGTGAGGTCCTGTGGGCGCCAGGACACCATGGCTCGAACTCTGTGTCCCACGCACTCTCCCATAGGCAGCTTCTGCCCCATCACCCCCAGACCTGCTTCCGCCTTGTCCTCTCCAGCAAAGGAGGCCGGACTCCTACGACAGGGCAAACAGGCAGTTGCTCAGGCCCCAGGGAGGCGTCTGCCATGTCTCAATTTCAGGCCCCTATGAGCATGGGCCGCACCGGATGGTCAATGAGGGCCCAGTGAGCCTAGCAATGGACATGTCTGTGGCTGTTTACAACTTGTAATATAGAGGCCACTAGACAACTGACTTGTGAGGGAAACACATATACAGGCGGCCGAGGGACACTGGGAAGGAAGGACAGTGATACCCGGAGTGTCCACTGGGCAAGACCACTTGGGGGACCCCAGACTACAATCACACTGTAGGGCTGTCTCTGCAGGTACGGCGCCCCAACTGCCAGAAGCAGACCGAGGCATGAGTGTATACACATGTGCACACATGCAGGCGCACACCCGGGCATCTGTCTACGTACACATGTGGAGCCACAGGCACAGACACTCATGCCAGGTGCCAGCCACAAAACTGGCAGGGTCTGGGCCCTGAAAACTCACTGGGAAGGAGGGGCGGGCTGACCCAAGGAAGAAGCAGAGCAGGAGATGGAGAGGGTCCGAAAGCAGTCCCGGCCAGGGGGAAGGAGGGGCCGGCCTTCCAGGCCATGCCGGAGATGGAACTGACCCCAGGAACTGAGTCAGCCAAGGCCAAAAGCAGAGAGCCAAACACGGCGCCTGTCTGGATCACGGAGCACGGCTGAGGTTGGAGAGCCAGGGCATGATGCCACGCGGGTGCCACTGGAGGGGCACTGGGTGCCACTGGAGGGGCACTCCACAGGGCGGGGCGGGGTGGGGCGGACGCCTGGGACAGCCCGTCTGCATGGACTCAAACTCCCAGTCCTGAAAGGTTAAACAAACATCTCCTCACGCACGGAGAAGTTCAGCTCGCCTCTCGCTCACACTTGAGACACTGACAAGTGGGTGGAAGGAACTCTCACAGAGTGTGATGTAGCCGTGGGCTCATGGTCCCCAGGGCTTAGCCACCTCTCGTCCCTTACACAGAAAGTCCTCCCATTTCCGCAGGAGACACGACGCGGCCCAGGACCACGCAGGAGGCAGTGCTGTCATGGCGGCCAGAGGCAGCCCCCTCAGAGGCCGGGGCGCGGCCAGAACCACGTGCGGGTCTGGACAGAGACCCAGGGAAGGAGAAGAGCACTCGGCAATGTTCACCCTTAAAACACTGTGCTAGACTGGTCCTCCTCATCCCACAGACAAACCGAGTCAGATGACGTCAGGAAGCAAACGCAAAGGCGCCCAACGGAGGGGGAAAGACGCAGAGGGCCGCCCTGCAGGCCGAATGCAGAGCAAACGGCCGGGCGCACACACCGCAGACGCCCACAGCAAAGCTCTGAGCTAAAAATGGCAAGAAAACTAAGCTGAAGAGAAAACAATCAACAAAGGGAAATGTGTACAATTTACGATAAAATGCGTGAATGCTAAACTTAAGAAAAGCTTTTCAAACACATATACATACATACACACATACATACATACATACATACACACACACACATACATACACACATACATACAGGGGGTACCTAAAAAACCCCGTAATGTAACCCGTAGTATGCATTTTCCCTGCTAGACAAGCACCAAGCAACTCGCAGATTTGGCAACTGCATTAAGTGTAATGGAGAGTACTTTGAAGGTGATAAAGTTGTTTAAAAAAAATTTTTAATATATAACTTTGAAAAAAATTCTGGTATTTTGAGTACCCCCCTCATGTGTGTGTGTGTGTATACACACACTAATATATAGACATACACTAATATATAGACATACATATATATAGGTATACATACAAGGGAGTAACCCCCAAAATACGGAATTGTGCTGGGCAGAATGGAGCTCCCTGCTAGGCAAGCATCAAGCACCTCGCTCTGAGTTAGTGCACCCAGTGGTGTCGCCTGGGAAGGTTCGCTCTGGTCACCACAGTGAATTTTTTTGTAAAAGCCATTTTGCTCAAACCTTGGTTTTTGTGATGGCTGATTTAAGTGAACAGCATGCAGCTGTGAAATTTTGTTTCCTGCTCAGGAAAATGGCTGCAGAAACAGTTGTGATGTTGAACACAGCTCACGAGGACAGCGCTATGGGAAACCTCAAGTGTACGAGTGGGTTTCTCATTTCAAAAAAGATGAACTGTCAATTGATGACAAACCTTGTTCTGGACGTCTGTCAACTTCCCGAACGGTTGAAAATGTTGGCTTGTAGTGCATCTGAAGTTTGTTTCACCAGGTCAGACTGTTAATCATGCTTTCTATTTAGAGGTTTTGAAAAAATAGCCTAACCTGCCCACACAGTCGTCTCAGTGGGCCAGTTTTGGGACAAAAACCAGTGTGCCTCTCTTGCACCACACACCTTACTCACCTGACCTAGCTCCGTACTACTTCTTTTTGTTTCCACGAATGCAGAGGGACATGAAAGGACAGAGATTGGATGACATAGAGGAGGTGAACAAGAAATGAGGGAGGTACTGTCAGCCATCCAAACAGATTGTTTGAAAAAATGTTTCCAGAATGGAATCACAGATTTGACAAAGGTATTAAGTGTAATGGAGAGTACTTTAAAGGTGCTAAGGTTTGAAAAAAATAATTATGGTTTTTAGGGATACACACACACACACACACACCACCTGCCTCGTGAGGATACCAGTGTCCCATGAATTGGAAAGGCTTGGCCAAGGGGCACTTGATAATGCACCTGGGCCATGAAGAACACATTTCTCCTGAAAGCCTGAAAGCCGTTTCAAGAGCCGTCATCCTGTCATACCATCACATCACACCCCTCACACCCCACAACACACCTACATACCACATGCTACTGTGCACTACCATGCCACATCACATGCCACCATGCCACATGCCACGCCACTAAAGCACACACACCTCATGCCACCAAAACCAAAGCTGGGTTTGTCCATGTGCACATCCAGGAGGTTTTATAACAGCAGACCTGACTTACACCCGGGCGGTTTCTTCCAGAAGGAGCGGGTGTGCAGTGGCGAAGGGGTGCTAATGGGAAGGTGGTCAGTTCGAACCCCAGCTGCTCTGCAGGAGAAAGATGAGGCCATATGCTCTTGTCAAC